ATTTCGTAACAGTCGCAGTCGATTGTTTACTGTGTACTGTATTGTTGTCTGCGTTGCCTCGGATACTCAGGGGAAGTTTGTAAATCGTTCGTTAGAAAGAAATCGACTATGGCGGTCTTACGATTAGCTTTGTGCGTTTTTCTGTTGTTTGGTGCTTCGTGTGGCTTCAAATTCGCAGACCGTGGATGGAGAGACAAGCCCCATGAAGGTAGGCGCAGTGTCGAACGATTGGTGTTAACCGACGTTTCGGCAAGGATTCACGGGGCTCACATGTTGTCATATTTTCTATCACTTATTACACAATTTTGATATCAAATACAAAGACGCGAGACTTCAGACTTCCGAGTTCGTCAGTTGCGTGATTAATGAATTCCTGTTGTTTTGTGAACCAGGCAGGTACACGAAAGGAATCGGTGATTACGATCTGCTGGTGCCGGTGAGAGTCGATCCTGAAGGTTCCTTCGTCTCGCACTCTCTCCCGAGTTTCTTCCAGCAGGACGTAAGAAGGCGGAAGCGGGAGGCACGTGCGGATTCCGAAAGAGTGCATTATGGGATTAATCTGGACGGACAGGACCACGTGGTGGAGCTGTGGCCGAACCACGGTCTGATCTCGCCAGGATTCGTTGTGGAGACTCGGCAGTCAGGGTCTGCGAGTGATCTCAACAAGCTCAAGATCCGATCTGTGAACGATTCGCAGTGCCATTACACCGGGAGGATCAAGGGACAACCAGAGTCACGGGTGGCGCTCTCTACTTGCGACGGAATCGTGAGTCAACTGTTTTAACTCTCATTTTCGCGGTGTTGGTACTTTGTGTCTTCAGAAGTACCAACATGAATTGTTTACTTCCGGTTTGTTTGAGGACGCTGTCGGTAGGTCGAATTCGACAGCTTCGATTAATTGGATAATTGATGAAAAATCAGTTGAAGGTATACTGAAGGAAGCGGCCATTGCAGATCTCGAGGTACTAGTCGGATGTGTCTGAGGCGAAACCCGGAAACTTGATCATGTTTGAATTTCCGGTGACTTAACCCTTAAAGTGCTGTGCCCAATTATCGTTATCAGATGTTTTGAACGTAAGTCACATTTTTTCCTTCCATTGGTCCAAATTCGCTCATTTCAAAGAAATATATTGCCGTGTCTAAAGTACAAATTTTACAGAATCCACATTGAATGTTGGTTCAGTTGCCATTTAAAATTACTGAAACTACGGATTAAAAATGACAGGTGCTGGGGTGACACTTGCCTTGCACCTGAAACCGAATCGGCTTTTTTGTTTAGAATTTGTTGTAGATAATTTTTTCATTCGTTCTTAGATGTAAGTGAAAAGAAGGCATTGTGTTACGTTGCATAGTTTTATATGCATGGCACATGATGAATTATGCGTGGTAATATCTACTATCAGACGAAAGTGTCTTGTCAGTGAAAATGGTGGTCAGGGTGAGCTGTGGTGTATAAACGAAGATTAACTTAATTTCCTAACACTTATTTTTGTGCTGTGGTTTTCTTAAAAAATGTAAAACTGAAGCAAAATGACATTTATAATTTCAGCCTATCAACTGATTCAGCTGCCCTTGTAATTCAATACGTTAAAGTATGGATCCATTTAATTTTCATAATTTTTCTTAAATTATAAGTCAGTCAGAAACAAATATAGAATAACTGATTTGCACAGGTCAAAGGTGTAATTGGTGTTTGGATCCACAGGAGGACGTTCATGATTATGGACATTCATCCTGCATTCCGCATTGCAGGGGCTGAGATCACTCAGGGTCACAGAATCTTCCAGCTTAAGATTGTGTTACCCCATGAGTGTTTTAAGTGTTTACATAGAGAAATAACAGGCGAGACATTTTAAATTCCTGCTTGCATATTTAAGCGGAATGAAATGACACATTGCTCGTGGCACTTCTTGTCCTAGGTCGGTCACATCAGGACCAAAAGGGATGTTTACCTCATCGAACCCGTTGAAGGTCATGAACCCGAAGTCAATGGTCAACATTTACATCTTGTTTACAAGAGATCCGCCAGTCACGATCGCAAAGGAAAGTGTGGTACAAGAAGTAAGCGTATTCTGTGACACCTTCTCTTCCACGGGCATAATTGCCAAAGACTCACGATACACATTTCTTTTCTTTTCTCTCTCGTTCAGTCTCAGCGACAAGATTTTCTCTTGTTCTACAGAAAAATAATCTGTTTCTTAAGTTCTGAGTAAGAAAATGAAGTCTGTTTCTGAACAAAGGTGTTAAAATCAGAGCTCTGGAGGAAAGGACTGGGAACTTAAAAACTCAATGCTGTTTGAAGTTGCACTCTGCAATTCAGAAATGCACTTTGAAATGCGATACCTTATTGTTTAAAGCATTAATAGGCCTTAAGTTTTTAACTTTTAAAAGATAGAGTGTGGTGTTAAGTGGTAAGTGATAAGATTTTTGTAAATTCCTCAGATCTATAAAGACGTAGATATACTGCCTTAAAGAATGATTTTTTTACGGGGTTAATCGATGGTGATTGTGGTGCTTTAATTAGGTTTTCTTGATTTCAGACGACTGGGAAACCGCGTGGGCAAATCGTTTAAAAAACGAGTACAACCAAAAAAAAGACAATGCCCGTAAACGTTCCGTCTCGGATGATACGCGAATGGGTTTTAATAGAAAGAGATCTGCAGAGGACCAAACCAAGTTCATCGAAGTGATGCTTGTAGCTGACAAGAAATTCCTTGAGGTCCGGAAAGACATCGACTACGAGCAATATCTCTTGACAACTGTGAACATGGTAAGAGAACACGGGACCACAACCTCGGGCATCCGAGTCCAATCCGTACTGTCACAGTTTAATGTCACCCCTCTTTAATTTGACTAGTATTTTAAAATTTCTGTTGCAGTACGCGTTATATAAGTTTGTATGGTGGGCACTTTCACTATCTTCACTGCGTAATGATTCGTATGAACACATTAGCTTAGGCCAAGACCATTTCCTCCCATGTCCCTTCCAATTCATTGTCCGCTATTATCCTGTCAAAGTATGCTGCGTAGTCCGAGTCACTGACATCATCGTTAAATAAATGAGTGAAACTTAAGACATTCTGCCGGCTAGAAATAACATCACTTTATTTGGTCGTTTTGAACTACCGACGAGAAGCACGGACATTGAAGCCTCTCATCGCGTACGCCCAGAGTTTGATCTCCGTTACCTCTTCAGTCGTTATTCATTTCTTTCAGGCTTCTGATATTTTGCATGACGAGACTGTGGGACAGACAATGGATTTGGTGTTGGTTCGATTAATGTATCTGGAGAAAGAAGATGAAGAGGTAAGTTTGATGATGGGACGCAATTTGATACAGTCTAAGGAAGTTGGTGTTGAAGCGTCCCGTTCTGAACGTGTGTCTCATATGATATTTTTTGTATGTCCACGCAAAGTATAGATGCGGATGTCAAGTTATTGTTTTGTAATTAAACATCTACATGTTTTGATACCGTTATATCATCTTGACGCTTTTATAAGTTAAACATAGATGTAATTATATTAATCTTATTTTTTATTTATATTTTTATTTTTTAATATGAACTGAAAAATCACATAATTTTTAGTAAAAGAATTGAAAGTTAATTAACATGTTTTATAGGGTGGATAAAGTTTCAAAATATGTAAACTCAATATATCAACTTTGTTTAATCAAGAGATGATAATGTTGCGTCATATTGTGTTGAATATATACTTGTTCAATTTTATCAGCCTAATCACAATAAAATATTATTATTAAATATTAAAATATTACAATTAACATTTAAATATTTAAAAATTTAAAATATATTAAAATGATGTTCTCTATCGAAATGTTCGATTTACATTAAAGCATCATCTTTTACACTACATGTTTCCGTTCTAAATGAACCATCTTCAGGTGTATAATCCATATAAACTCAAATGTAATATCCTAAGTGCAATCCTTCTTCAGATGTCCATCAAATATCAGAAAGTTTTCCTCTTCCAGACCTATTGTACTTTAATATCGCATTCAAGGTCATTTCGTAATGTATGTCGCGCTTAACATGATCTTGTGTGGGTGAAACGTTTTGCAGTGGTTTTTGTATCGGTCATAAATGAAGAGTGGAGGAGGTTCGTCCGTCTGGAAGTATTGCCGTGTTTGAACTCCATGTTTAATCAAGTTTTGCCACGCATAATTTGTTCATAATGTAATTGTAATCCTGTTATTATTAAAAGGCCGATGTGACTCTTGAAGTTATTAAAATAACACGAACGTTTCGAACAAGACAGTTTCGTATAATTGCAGGTTGATCTTACAATCAACATAGACGCTGACGCTACTCTAACAAGTTTCTGTAAATGGAGCACAAGGATGAATCCTGTGCTGACGCATCCAAATCATCATGACATATCTGTCCTTGTTACGAAGTGAGTGTTTTTCTTATGTGACTAATAAGATAATAATAAAAGGGGTTCAGACGCACTTTGTGGGAATAACTCAGTCATCTTATCAAGTCACTGGAAAAGTGAGCGTAATTTAATGCGGGATTCGGCTCTGAAAAGAGGTTGGGTCTCCCATTTCCTTTCAAGAACTTTATTTCTGTTAACATCTGTTGACGTGTGTATCCACTAGAGAGTGCAAGATGTTTTTTGTTGTCTCGGAATTAACTGGGGACTGAAAGACGATCAATTGTTCTCGGTCTGTTCCTTGCTAATGACACTCAGTCATTAAATTCGGCTTTCAATAAATGCAATAATTTTAGCAGTTTTGAATTAATTCAAGCTTGTTCTGTATTTCCGAAAAGAAACGGAAGTTTTTAAACCTCTGCTGTGTGTATTATTTGGCACCACATGGATGAATTTTCTAGACAATGAGAAGGAATCAGATAAGAAGTTTTTGACATTTGAAGGTTTCTGTCTGTCTGTCTCTAGAAGTTTTAAACAGCCAGCAAATTTCGGCAGTTGATTCTGTCTTGGCCCTCTGGTGACAAGAGGACAAATGCCTGATCATTTGGCCGCCCGATTAAGCTAGTCTCAAGTCTAGTTTTAGGCATCGTGTTTTTTTAAAGCACCTAGACGATGGGTAAAGCAAGAAGAAAGTTTAGGTTTGACTGAACTTCTGAAATGTATGGAAACCCCTGGTGAAAGGCCACGTCGATGAAACCAGTTTGCAGCATTAAGGCGTGACTGGAAGCAACGAATTAGATCTGACGAAGAACATTTGAGTTTTAAAAAAGCCGAATGTTAGTTGTAATCTTGAATCAAAAAAAATGCTAATCTATGCTTATGACTGTAATTCCTTATTTTTAGGCATGACATATGCTTAGGACCGGATGGCTGCGGAACTTCGGGTCTCGCTGATATCGCAGGCGCCTGCGCTCGGAACCAATCTTGTGCTATCTGCGAAGATAAAGGCTTAGTTGTTGGTACCATCAGTGCCCATGAAATAGTCCACTTGTAAGTTCATAAACATTATGTTTTTGATATCTTCTTCTTGTAGCATTATAACTCTGTGTGGGTCTTATCTTGTTCATCGAGTTTTTTCCATTCTGGTGGTATGCCCTATGAATATGCCTGTCTATCCGCCTTGTTTACGTCTGTGCATTGCGGTGTGTTACAGGTTGGGCGCTGACCACGACTCTGAGGATGAGAACGCCCCACCGGGAGAATGCCCGGGAATAGTAGAAGGTTACAATATCCATGTTATGTCACCGTATTCTCAGGTTTCGCCTGCGAGTTGGTCAACTTGCAGCAAGAAATTCATAGCAGAATTTTTTGAGTATGTCATGCCCTAATAAACCACGTTTTGAGCTATTTTTTTTTGTTTTCAAATTGCGTGTGTAGCTGAATATTGTATTCACTGATTCTGAACAAAGATATTAGTTATTTATGTAATTTTAGTAGACGTAAAGTATCGTTTTGCTAACGCGTGTGACATCGCCCTAGAAACATTTCCAATTTGAAGTAAAAGAAAATGGTGAAATGCAGGTTTATATGTAACTGTATTTTTATTTTATGGAGGATGTGATAAGAAACTTTGTCTAGTAAAAAAATACATCTAGACCCGTCGATGCAGGTTGCTCTGCCAATAGGATGAAATATATTGCACAACTTCACTGCGTCGGTCTGAACAATAATTTCTTCTTGCCACAAAGTCACGTTCAAGTTCATTAAATATTGCTTCATTTACGTAAACACTGTCTTATTGCATATATATTGGTGTAATGGTTTTAAAATTGGGTAGAATTTGCTAAAGTTGCAAGAAGAACATAATGATTCTGGTCTCGTGTTACAGGAACGACCTCGGCAAGTGTTTTTTAGACGAACCTCAAGAACACAACTTCAAATTTCCTGAAATGCTTCCTGGCGTTTTGTATGACCGTGAGTGGCAGTGTATCGACAATTTTGGACCTATGGAGCCTTGCGACCACGGCCCGGTTTGTGTGACTTCTGTTTATATTTGAACGTTTGACGTTATGTTTTTTTCCTGATTCTGAATTTCTCCTTCCTCTTCAGAGGCGCAACTTATCAGACAGGGCAATGCATTCGTATTCTGCATTGATGTTCATAACATTAGATTGTAACGTGAGTGCCAGGGTTATTTATTAAAGATGGCTTTTCATGTACAACCTGGATAGGTAAATGTTATGTGTTGGTATGTTTTTTATTTAAATTAATAAAATTTTGTTCATCCATTCTCTTGCCACTGCGTACAGATGAAAAGACAAACAAGGGTTTTAATGGTCACTACGTAGAGTCACAAATGCACATATCTCTCGTGCCTCTTATTCGAAATGGACGATGCTGGATCTGTGATCTGCTGCTGCCTTCATCCTCACATTAAATTTTACCATCATTTACAGGATAAAAACTGCAAGTACCTGACGTGCAGGACCGCCGGTGCCCAGGAGTGTACTTTTATCGGCCCACCAGCCGATGGAACCAGCTGCGGCGATAACAAGGTATAAATAGAATTAAGTATTTCATTTTATTTATGGAACGTAAAGGTGAACCTTTTTATCCCAGAATTTATGGCGAAAATTACAAAATAAGTATCGGAAGTCGTGTCTGCCAGACTGACGTTGCATTGCTCAAATTGCAGTCTGTAGATTGTAGTTCCACCTCAAGAAAGCAAATCTTTTCCGTTGTAATCGCTGTCCCGCTACACGCCACGTAGGTCGTACAGGTACAGTTCCAACTCTTTCTTGACCTCGGCACTAGATGGAGTGAGAGTGGTCAGCATCACGCCCCAGCCGCGCTTTACCCCTGGGAAAGGACCCCTGTACCCATTGGACAGGAGGCTGGGTGGGCCCCAGAGCCGGTCTCGACACATAGGCCAGAGGAAAAATCCTCTGCCTCCGTCCGGGATCGAACGCAAATCGTCCAGCCCGTTTTCTGTTGTAATAGAGCAGGAATAAAAAAAAAACACTCGAGTGGACAGACTACTTGTGTTAAGCGGAGCGTGTGTTTAAATCATAGGGGGATGCAGTTTTAAACATTTGTACTGAAAAATGGGGTTATGTAGTTAAAGAGAAATCAGAATAACCTAAAAAAACACATAAAGTTTGTTGAGCCCCAATTACAGGCTGTGCCAAAACCCAGTCCCACATGGACTGCCAGTCCATGCGGGACTTGTGACAGATAAATAAAGATAATAGGCCTAGTTTCATTAATCTTCTTTTACGGTGGGTTTATTGATATTTCTTTGTAAGACACAAAGTGATATTTTAACCGTCACATTGCACCTTTAGCGGACATAATATTTATTTTGTCGCCAAAATTACCTGGAACTTTAATGCATTTACAGTGGTGCTTTGGGGGCAAATGCGTTGTTGTCGGCGTGAGGCCGAACGCCGTTAATGGCCAGTGGGGAGAGTGGCTTTCATGGTCCGAGTGTTCACGAACATGCGGTGGTGGAGTATCTGTTAGTGAACGCCAATGTGACAACCCCAGACCTGCTAACCATGGGCGGTATTGTCTTGGGAAACGTCGCCGGTACAAAATATGTAATACCGAGGTGAGTCCGATATTCAGTCCGACGCCTGCACTACATGATCTGCTTTGCGGAATGATGGAATTTGTCAGTCACATAGAGGAGTATAATGCAGTGAGATTATTTTTGTGCATCTTGCAAATTGGTGGACCTCTCGGGTGGAAGAGTCGGACGCTCCTGCTGTCAGGCTGGCCGTAGATATTCCGGCTGCTAGGGGAACCAACACACTCGCAGCCTAAATTCACCAGAAATAAAACTTCCCGTGATTAGGGTAGATGCTGGAAATTATCTTCGTTGTTCATCTCAGTTTCCCGTGTGCCTTCGTAAAACTTCATTTACAAGTTTACGTGTGAGTTTTCTGTAGCTGTCCCACAGTTTGCTTGGGTGCTCGGAGAAGATCTCACTGTATGTGTGCTATTCTGTGACGTGTCAATAAACTTCAGACGTGTTGCTCTGAGCCGACATGCTTGTTCCTCCGCCCATAAATTTTGTCTTTTAACACAACAACTGAATTATTTATCAGAGAATGGAGGTAAAGATCTAGAAAGATATTAACATATTTCTTAGTTGTTGAATTTTACAGTTTAGCCTGAGAAAGCGATAATGATGCAAAATGTGCTCCATTTTCAGCCTTGCGACGATAACTCGTCTTTCCGAGCAGAGCAATGTGAAGCCTACAACACAGATGACATCAAGTGGACTCCTTTTAATGATGAAACACCCGGTAAGTTGAAATATGAGTAAGAATGCGTGCTCAATAAAATTCTTTAAAATGGTCAATCGGTACGATCCTGAAAGTGAAAATTTCCTGTAGGCCTGTGGCGACCACCTCAGAAAATTTAACGGCTTGCATTAAATATTTGAAAATAAACTTGTTAGTGTTTCTGAAAATTTATTCATCTTATGAATTGCAAGAATTGTGTAGAATTTGTATATCGTCAGATGCTACGAACTACTGATAAAAATCAAGGAGTATAAAATGGACATGGGATGAGTACGAATGTGAGAGACGAGAAACTTTGACAAAAAAAATTCAATGAGAGAAATTGAATGGAAGATCCTAGCACAGATGGAAAGATATTATTACTGAATTTATCTGGCTCAGAGTGTGGTCTAGTGGCAGATTCTTGTGGACGTAGTAATGAAGGACAGGCTCCATAAACGACGAGACTCCATTGAATTAATTAAGATATTGACAATGGTCAACCTGTCGCTTAGAAATAGCAATTTTGTAAAATGGTAATTTTTTTTTTCAGAAAGTGTGTGTGCGTTGGTGTGTTCAAACAACAAACACGAATACAGGACTTTGAAGCCTAGAGTTAAGGATGGAACTCCATGCAAGATAGGCTCCAGGGACAAATGCATAGCTGGAAAATGTCGGGTAGGTTCATCTCAGTGTCAGGTTAAGTGGAATCACGGCTTCTGAATGTTTATTACACTTCATTCAGCAACTTATTTTCAACATGTTCTATCAAAATATACAAAATGTTTATCTTCGCACATTAATTTAAAGTTGCAAGGTAAAAAATCAAGCGCTCCCTTCATGTACTGTAATCAGAATATGGTTTTGTCATGCGCATATTCGAAGTTACGGGCTGCAAGTCCGACCGTCGTAATCTCGCGTTCGAGGTCTGTATAATATCCGATGTGTTCGCGCACGCGCTCTTTCAGAACGTTGGCTGTGACTGGGTCCTCGACTCTGAAGCCGTGGAAGACGTTTGCGGAGTATGCGATGGCGACGCGTCCACGTGCGATTTCGTTGACGAAGTGAATAGTGAAAGCGGAGAAGGTAATTTAATTATTTTCCGGGAAAGACTAAAATTGGAAACATTAATAATACGCATTTTTATGATTTTCTTGCGGGGTGTGTAATCATATGTCTGTCTGTCTGCACGTCTGAATCGATTCTGATTCCAGACCGGATATGTACCCTGAATATAGAGGCAACATGTTTGTGCGAAAAGTTTGTAAGAATTAGAAGCCTGCAGGCTATATTAGACGGTTTGAAAAGAAATTTTTTGTGCGTGTATTTGCAATGCTGAAATAATTTGTCTGCCAATTTTGTTCCAGATTATCAGGAAATCACTACTATACCGGCCGGTGCCAGACACGTTTCGGTAGAGGAGGTGACGGCGAGTCGGAACCTCTTGGCTCTCTCGGCAGCAGACAGGAAGACTTTCTTCCTCAATGGCGATTAGTAAGTGAACGAGGAGGATGCAGATGTTTCGTGGACAGAATTCTAAGAACCACGAAACCTTGTGGGCGTGTCGACAGTCGCGTTCCAAAACTGATCCTGTTAACTAATCATTTATAGGTTTATCCGTCAGATTGTTTGTTTAAATGTGACATCACGGCCACCACTGAACGGATATTAATTAAATTTTGATATGAAGGACTTTTAGTTACAGATGCTTTACGCGGAGACCCACTTACATTTCAGAGTGCATCTTGAGCGTAACTTGCTACGTACTTATCGGTGCAAAAAACTGTTTGGAGCTAAATTTGGAAGAGAAAAATGAAAGGCACATTTTGTAATTACTGTGACTACAAGAAATTAAAGTGTATTAAGTTTGGGGTCCTCTCCATTGGCGTAATGTTTATAGAATGTTTTATGGGCACGAACAATTAGCTTCATCTCACGAGATTGCTCGCTTCCTTAAGAAGGTAACGCAGGATAACAAACAGAAATTTGGATTGTGGTAAAATTAGGTTGGACTTCGAGGGTAGGAAACAGGAAATGTCTAAAAAAAATCAGAACTATTTCACAAACGACATAGATGTTATCGTTAACTGTTTGTACCAGCAACACGTTAGTGGTTTCTAGCGATGGTCATCAGTTATGGTATTATATGCGCATGTTTTGCTGGCGTTAATAATTATTCAAATTAGTTGGCAAATTTTCATGAAACTTGGTGTGAACGTCGTACCACTAAATGCCAACCAAGTACGTAAGCCCCGAACACTTTGTTGGTTGTAAGTTCTGAAGTAACTTAATGCAGCGTCGAGATATTAACTGGTCATAAATATTTAAAAGGTTGTGACCGGTGTGAAATTTGATGTAGTCAGAATTTAGACGCTAAACTGCAAAATGATTTATTTTTAGTTGCTAGCCTCACTGTAAATATTGAAGCTTTTAAGTGCACGGTGAAAGTTATTTTTAGAAAAACTTTTGTGTCTTAGTCATATGAATTCTGTGTAATCGAACGCTTTCATACGTGTTGCATTATTCTTTGTTACAGCACTGTTGAAGAAGATGGAGTTAAGAGAATTCCAGGATCGATCGTCCTGTATAATAACGTGGATCCACAACGTGAAACTTTGTACATCGAAGGTCCCACCAAAGAAGATCTCATTCTATACGTGAGTACTAAGAATTTCAGCGGAGACGAAACGGGGAACCGTGGAGTGTCGTATGTCGCGTGTTTCTGACAATACAGAACAAAGGATACTCTGAAATACGTCATTTAACAAAAATATCGAGCTTTTGAAATACATTGTGTGTTCCGTAATTGGTAACTCTGTCACGTAATATAAACTTATTCGTCGTGAGATACGAGGTTCTGATAGCCATGAAGATGGCTGTTTCTGCGATGTAATCTGTTAAATAGCGACTGATGTCAGACGAATTTTTTTCTTGTTACTGTGTGGACGTCCTTCGCTTGTAATTGCGACCCTGGTCGTACTGTTGCTCTTCGTACATTTTCAGAAGTAAATAACTGATTGATTGTTTAGTGTCAATATGAAATAATCCTGATAGAGGAGGCACGAAGGTAGCCGAATCCACGTGACTGGCATTAAATAAATTTTGGACAGAAACAAGTTCGGTTTCTTGGTAATGGCTTCTTTAAATGGAGAAGCGAGAAATGAAACTTGCAGGAGAGTCCCTTTGAAGGAATACTGCTTTGTAAATACCGAGATAGAGCCAGATCTTAAGGCAAGGGGCAGAGGATTTTTCCACTAGACTCTGCGTCCAGATCGTCTCTGGGGCCAACCCATCCTCCTATCCACAATGGGTACCGGAGTCTTTTCCCTGTGGTAAAGTGCGGCCAGGGCATGACGCTGACCACTCACCCCCATCTAGTGACGAAATCAGGAATGAGTAGGAGCTATACCGCCTCTTCCCCCAAGCGCCTACATGGCTCATAATGGGACAGCTTTACTTTGCTTTACTTCTTAAGGCAATAAAATAGGTTTGAGTAATGTGGCTAGCATTTCACCGGCTCTTCACGTGGTCCAGGATCGAATTAATGCTGTGTTTTATTAAAAATGTCTTAATCTGAACGTGTCCACCGCAGACATAATCTGCAATGCGGTACACAGTTTCCCGTAAGCTACGAAGTTAATCAGTGAACTCCGATATTTATCGTCGCTCCTTTACTCTGTTCTTAATTACAGTCCTCATTAAGTCCGCTTTCGTTACAGATTCTGAACAATAAAGACCCTAACCCAGGAATACACTACAAATATTCGATTCCTTCGACTTCAGCGTACGATCCGAAATTTGTCTGGGATCTTGTAGACTGGGGTCCATGCAGCGCTTTCTGCGGAGGAGGAACGCAGGTACGCGTATTCTACAAAAATGAACCGTGTCGCTTTTATGTTAGTTGATGATATTCTTGAAGAATTAATAGCACATTTTTTAGCCTACCTCAAGTGGTGGCCGTCTGAACTTTATAAGTCGAAGGTCTGAAGGGAACGAAAATTGGTTGTTTTATCCGCCTGTTTCGCAAAAAGAAGAAAAGTAATACTTGCATTTTTTAACATTATTTACACTCCGTAAAACGTATTAAAACAAAGTGTTTCTTCCATAATGCGTGTCAGAGATAAAAAATGTATCTAAAGAAAATATTCTTATATTCTTGGGTATATTTGGGCAATGAAATTGGAGTTTTGAAAGCACGACACAGGTTCATTTGCAATTGGGATCAATTCCGTATTAAAATCTCGAACTCATTAACATCAGAATGAAGTAAAAAAACATAAATTATATGGAAAATGAAATCAAGAAACGTCTACATTTCTATTCTGGGTTACAAATTTGTTTCTTTACGAATATGTATTGACGTTAATATTTCAACTCGACCCATTTTGAACTGGTATACGGTCGTATTGTCGCATAAAAGTACTTTGCTGAAATATTACAAACGAAAGAAATTGTCATTATGTCTTTAACGTACTTAAGCTATTAGGATCAAGCTTCGTGGTTTCCTCACTTGCATTCAGCTGTCTTTATTTACCACGTGAGGAACACGTGTATACGTAATATACCATATTATGTACGTAATAATAAGCACACTGCGCTTTTCAAATTTCATTAACAAAAATTCGATTTTCTAGTTGTCTCAACCGAGCTGTTTTGAAGAAAAGAGAGGAAAAGTATCCAAGATGCACTGCAAAGATATTCCGAAACCGACGGCGAACACCAGGTCGTGCAACACGCAAAGCTGTAAAGTCAGGTTAGAAAAGTCGCATTAACGAACCCCAGATTCATTTAATCTTTATTAAGTTGTTATTTTAATCATTCATTAATACTGTTAACAGACGTCGTGGTGTTACCGATGCGTTCGCGGTTAACGAATAAATAATTTATTTAATTTTTTTTTACCTTGTGGGTCACAGTGATGAATTCCTGCTATTCAGAAATCTCGCTTGAATGTCACTAAAATATAAATTTACTAAATAGCCCACAAGTGATTGCCTAGGCACAAGTCCAAGATGATTATGTTTCCTCCTGACACACTTTGCCATTGGTCCCGCGGTTCGGACCGGCGATACGGAATGCACGCTGGTTCGAGTCTCGGGGGAGACAAAATTTTCTCATGAGCTTTCGACCAGTGTATGGGACCGGTGCCAACCCAGCATCGTGAGGAAATTGGGGAGCTACAATGAGTAGCGTAATCCGGTCATGAAGACTAGCAATGGCTGGGGGTTCGTCGTGCTGACCACACGCCACCCTGTATCTGGTTGGATGATTAAAAATGGGAAAATTCTTGAACACATGAACCGCTGTAAGCTTCTGAAGGAGAACCTCAATCCACGATGTCAGTTACGTATTTTAACGTTTGATGAAGACCGACCCAGTTTATCATCATCATCCAAAATTTGGATTTTTCTACAAAAACATTTAGTAACTTCCATGAATCATCAATTAATTGTGATGACGATGAATGTAATCGCCCTCCTTGTTTCAGATGGCGCGTCGGTGAATGGGGTAGGTGCAGTGGCTGCATTGGCAGGCCGGGTCACAAATACCGGGTTGTGGACTGCGTCAAGCAGTCCCCGTTCGAAGACAGCGAAGATATGATTGAGCCGAGCGAATGCGAAGGACAGAAGCCTTCAAACAAGGAATTGTGCAGTAGCAACAAACCTTGTGCCGTAAACTATCGGAAACGCCACACGTCTCTTCAGAGAGACGCGTCGGAGAGCGGCGACGAGAACGGGATATTGATTATCGATAAACCAAATCCTGACAGGTTCAAGGTGGTCGAAGTACCGAAGAATCAGGGTGTAAATAACTTGAATCTCTCGGACGAAGCTCTCGAGGCCTTGGGTGATCAAGTGGCGAGCAACATGGACGCAACAAAAACTGGAGAGGAGGCACATAAGAGGCTAAAAGAGGGCAAGGAACAGATTGAAGTGGAAGACGGGGAAGAAGATGATATTTTAAATTTGTATTAGATTAAATCTCGAAGCACATCACAAATGAAAGTGAGGTTTTAAGGCGCCGAGGAAGAAAGGTGGTCATCTTCTGGGTTGCAGCGTCACGCTTTCTGGTAGACGTTTACCGGTTCAGCGGCCCATGCTGCCTCCAACATCAGGGTTATGAGTGTAGGAGGAAGCAACAACGTCTGAAATGCTAGTGAACTTCTACCGAGTACTCGTTGCTACAACCCAGAAGACAGCCGTCTTGTTAAAAACTTTCATTTGTGAAAAATTCTGTGCTTTATACGACAGGCTGATGTATTTATAAATTTTATTAAAACTCTTTTCTAAAATCCTCATCCATTATCCCTTTATTCCTTTCATTCGCCCATTTCGTACTCTATAGCCACGTCCCCTTTCTCTCGTATTCCTTTCCCACTCCTTTCTTTTTTTCCAGCAAGAAGGATGGGAACAGTAGAGAAGCTGGCGTAATTTTATAAAGACTACGTTAGCTCTGCAGATTGTCAACTGTTCAGTGTATGCTGCTGCTATCTAGGGAACAGATAATCCATGGACACGTAAGACATTCCTCATCGCCGTCATAGTTGAGGTTAGGTTTCAGTGGTGTGTTTTTACGACATTACAATTATTGTTTATTACTCCATCTTGTTTTCGGGAACAAGAGGAGTCTGCTTCCCTTTGATCTTAATTCGCTACGTTCTCCGAGTGGCGAGTGTGTGAATTCAGTAACTCCAAGGTTTGTTTATCAGACGTTAATAACTTATTATGCTTTTAAGTTGTTTTAATGTAAAATTAATTTGCAGGCAGTTTTAAGATTCCGGCCGTTAGAAATGAAGGATAAGATTGAAACGAATAGATAACAGTTTATGTTCACACGTGAACGTTAATGTCACGAAATGAAACTTTTGGGGTTATGGACGTACATCTACAGAGAATCCATGCCCCTATAGAAAGCAGGCACAACACACGTCAGATACAATTATTAATGATAAACCTGTGTGGTCGAGTAGTTAGTACTAATGCTTCTTATTCGAGAGGTGTTGAGTTCAAATCTCGGCCTGAAAAAAACCCTGAGGTTTTTCGTTGTCTTCCTCAGTCAGTCCAATAATATTTTTGGGATTTATTATCCTGTCATTAGACACGAAAGAGTCTAGGACAGCATCGTTAAATAAACAACGAATAAATAAATGAGTTATAGAAAATGCGTCCTCTTAGAAGTGTGTTTATTTTTGTAAATATGCCATGTATTTCGTGTTATTGTCGACTGCTTGATTTCTAATTACTGATTTCCGCGTTATTTAAATCGAATTTTATTAACGTGCAGTTGTATCTTGTTACATCAGACAGGTCTCTCTGTATTTATTAGGAAAAGTACGTTAAGCATAGTTACTTAGGTATGCAAATGCCTGCAGGACCCCCAACAAAAATCTTTTCTCCTACGTCACTAGCTTGCGGGTAGATGGAAAAGAAACACATCTACTACCTAAACCAAAGACATTAGCCGTACAGTGACTGAGCTACAAAGAACTGCCTCTGGAGAATAATGTTTATGATACGGACAGTACATACTTCCTTGACCTTGTGGAACGCAACTCTCGTACTGTGAAGTCTATTTGTAATTAAACTTGTTTGAATTTTACTTACGTACTTTCCGACTAGATCGGTTTTATTACGTAATATTATTTGACGCATTTTTTAAGTAATTCAGATAGTTCAGAGATGAAAATAAACAGCGTATTTAATAGCATCGAACTTGATTTGACTTTCGTTGTGTGTTGGTAATATCAATGACACTGCATGTCTGATATCGCAGTTGTAAAGTGTATTCCTTGCTGGGTGAATGTGGCAGACATTTTGTTTTGTTTATACAGAATGCCTTTCGTCAAATAGCGCCAGTTACTCAGTTTCAGAGCCTAAATTTGACTGGTCTTGGAATTATTTTGTAATTCGGTTTGTGTGACGTGTGCATGGAAGATACACTTTGAATTAGTAATTTGATTTTCTTAGGTAAAGGATATAGGACATATTACTAGTGCCCAAATTAAATTCCGCGAGATTTTAGGTTTAACCTTGAGGTGGATTTTTAGCCGTGTAGACTGTGATTGTCAATTGTTCCTTGATATCCATTTTGAATTGATTTAATTAACCGAAAATCGTGGCAGGATTTACATTGCGATGGAAGTATTTCTAAAACAGAACTCATTTGAACAAACCCAGTTGAAGTTTTGTTACTGTGAACCGTGCTTTCTTCATTTGAGGTTATTTGTATGTGTTTCCGAGAGATGCACTGTTTAGAGCAAGAATGGGTTATGTAACTTTGGTACTTAAATAATTTCAAATAATATTTGCGATTTGATTCGTGATTAATATCTGAACATTTCAACATTTACTGATGCTCTGTCCGTATTTGTGATACTTCCAGTACATTCTTTCGTGGAGAGGCCTCCAAGTTTTTTGCCATGACGAAGTGCGCATGTTTCTGCGCACACGACGACTTTCGCTCGTCATTTGTTTCCACAGGCACAGAGCGAACAGAAGGTGTGTGACCCTGGACGCGGGAAGATGGTGTCTTGCTCGAGGTATAGCGGCACTGTTCGGCTTGATGGGAAGACTGCGATAGTCACGGGTTCGAACACAGGAATAGGCAAGTTTACTGCCCTCGACTTCGTCAAAAGAGGTGAGTTCCAAATCCCAGCGACGTGAGATTTTAATTTAATTGCAAAGTAAATCTGTCCCTGAAATGACGCGAAATGCCATTAATACACGTGACTTGTCATTCTGAGGAGGCGAGTAGCTAGCTTCACGCTCCGGCTGCTATATCTCTGATACGAGGACTAGCTCGACAAAACAGGGAACTATTCGACCGACCGGCTTTGCTTTAACGTGTCTACGTGACGTCATATATTTGTTGCTGGTTCATTTACCCTTGTTTTAAGAATTGTTACGCTGATAAAAAGTTGTCGTCATAGAATTGGAATATTGTGTTTGTAGCTGTTTTGGAAATGTTTAATCTGCTTTTAATTTCGATGATGAGGAGGGGAATTTCATATTCTGAGGCGGTCGACGTCTAAAAGTTGGATGGGCTTTATAGCTCGTGCAGGAAATTATTTACGAAGCTATCGGCGCCATATTTTAAATGAAACTCCTAATCTTAATGAGATCATTATTTCACTAATGTTGTATACGAAGTATTTTAATCAAATGTGACCTGAGCTTCGTGTTAAATAGGGCTTGAAGCGGAACAGTGCAAGCTAAGAACTCTAGGACATGAAATAAACGGACGGACATACCTAACTAACCTTATGGCTTAGGGGACCCGAAGGTTCATCACCGAATTAACCAAAGCCCTCCACCGGTCCCAGTCTCCTTCAACTCCTATCTCCCATAGATCCTGCCTGAGATTATCCTCCCATCCACGTCTAGGTCTCCCAAGAGGTCTCTTCCCCTCAGGCTTCCCAACCAACACCCGGTGTACACCTCTTGTCCCATCCATGCGCGCTACATGCCCCGCCCATCTCATTCTTCTCGACTTAATCACCCTGACAATACTGGGGGAGCAGTACAGATTTTTAAGCTCGTCATTGTGCAGTTTTCTCCACGCCCCATCGTCTTCCCTCTTAGGCCCAAATATCCTCCTCAACACCCGATTCTCCAACACCTGCAATCTGTGTTCCTCCCTCTGAGTGAGGGACCATGTTTCGCACCCATACAAAACAACAGGCAGGATTATTGTTTTGTATACTTTAATTTTCAGGTTCTTAGAAATCAGACGGGAAGACAAAATATTTTGGACTGAGAAGTAGCCAGCATTTCCGGAATTTAGTCTCCTCCTAACTTCCTCACAAGTATCATTTTGATTTGTTATTGTTGTTCCCAAATATTTGAACTTTGTAACCCTTTCAAAGGATTTATTAGCCACCCTAAGATAATTTTGCCCGCCTGTCTTCTGATGACGAGATACTAACACGCACTTAGTTTTTTTTCCTGAATTCACTTCTAGCCCCAAAACTTCTGTGTTCCATTAAACTTTCCATTAAATGTTCTTGTACACATTTCGTTCAAGGAATGTACACGTAAGATTCTATAGACATTTAGCCCTAAATGGTCGGAGGAATCCTTACGGATAAGCTAATAGTTGCATATTCGGTATGCCTTAAGCCCGAATATCATTTGCGGTTGGAGAAAATATGCCTTTCAGTTTATGTGTGTATTTTGCGATATTTTCTGGAGAAAATATGCCTTTCAGTTTATGTTTGTATTTTGCGATATTTTCAACTTTTAAAGCCCAGTGGTAACTATATGTACCACCTGTTTTAACATCCACTAACCCTTTTTTTGTACGGACTTCGTATGATTCTCAGAATAAACAGAAATTATTCCAGGGGTCTTTGTAATGGAGACGTGTTGTGTTTTCTTTGAGGTGAGGCCCGGACTTTTAAATGTACAAAACATTTTCCCTGAGACAGATTCGAGACTTCTGAAGGGGGACGTGAGAGTATAAATTGAAGTTACATCAACTGATCACGTTTGGCGAGCGATGTTTATAGAAATCTACACTGAGGGCGCTGTTTTCTTTGGCTCAGAAAGTTTAACATCGACTGCCCAGTCTCAAAATCAAAATTTTCCGCGTCTAATAACTTCATCGTTGTGAAATATTCGCTGTTCGTGTATTCAAAACTGCATCGTCGTAAGCAAAGAACATCGCATTTAAAATTCTCGTATCATCTTAGACAATCTTATGCACCGAATGCTCGCTAATCGGTCCCAAATCCTTACCCTACCGCTCTGTCCGTCTTTACCTCTAATGGTAAATGGCGTTCGAAACTTCGTCTCGATGTTCAAATTTAACATCGAAGTACTCGGACAGTAGCAGGAGGAATTGTGAACAATAAAAGCTGCGGGATATTATTAAAATTGTGATTTTATTAAAATTATACTGCAACAAGTCTTTAGATTTCGTGTCAGATGGAATGAGGTAGAATATATTTGCACTCTCAATGCATAAATTATTCTGTAACACGCTTCTCTTCAGAATGTTGTTGCTTATAAAGGGGTCATATTTTGAAGTCGACCACGACCATGCAACAGACTCCTCGCCCTCCTTGATAACCTGATAGTCGCCAATCTTTTCAAGAAATCTCGCTGCGCTTACGTAACCTCAAAATTCGTTAAAGTGAGGTAAGCAGGGGTGCTGCGATCTGGTGGCGAAAGTGGGAAGCATCGACGTCGTGTTGTTCCCAGCGCGGAACACAATCTTGCGGGCTTGTTTTTCGCAGGGGCACGTGTGATCATGGCTTGCCGGAGCGTGGAGAAGGCTGAAGCCGCCGCTGAGCAGATCCGGGGAGCCACTAGGGATCTGAAAGGAGCCGGGGCCGTGGACGTCGTGAAACTGGACCTGGGCTCGCTGACCTCGGTGAGGCAGTGCGCTGACCAGCTGTTGCGTGCCGAGCAGAGAGTCCACTTGCTCGTGAACAACGCAGGTAGGTGAAGGTACGTTCTCTACAGCGACATGTGCGTTCGAGATTCGCCATTTTCGCTGTGGAAAGTTACAGAACGCTCACCTCGCCACGCTGGCGTATCTGTGACCCACTTTGGAACTATTTATAAGGGCTCACTACACCCTAACTATTAATGTTAATATCAGAAGTCGATTTAAGTGGCAGTGGTACAGGTTATGTTTGTCGTCAACATGTTTCTAGCTCACGTAATGGCCCCGTCTGATGTGAGACACGTGGCTAGAAATAACAACATGGCGGCGGCGCGAACCTTTAACGTTGTCTCCAGTATGTATCTTATGGGCTGAGACATCGTACCCTATCGTTGCTTAACAACATTTCGGAGGAACGGCCTGCCTCCATATTCGGGGTGGAAGGATA